AGAATAAAATATAAAAAATAAAAAATAAATTAAGAAAATAAAAATAAACCCAAAAAATTATATTAATTTATAATGCTAGCAACTTGAAGAGCAAATAAGAAACTTTTCTCGGACTAAAGCGAGTTTAGTAGTCAATACTGGGTCCTAGCAAAACAAAGTGAGTCGCTATGCTTTTCGAAATTATTTACTGTTTCTGATTTTCTTTCGCTCTTTTTCCTTCGATTTCTTTTGCTATCTATCTATCTTAAAATCTACCTTTAAAACAAAGATTTTAACTAACTCTTTTAGTAAAGTATCCTGCATTGTTCGACACATTCGTCTATCATAAGACTATCATATCATTGCTTTTTTACTAAGAAAACAAAAGTTCCGGCCATACATAACAAAAACTGAAGAATAAGGATGAATGGCAGAAGATGGTAWACATTCCTCTAGCTTGCACGACATTTCTATTTACGTATTACGTGACCAGTGTTTGAAAGAAAACTCAAAATCTCGCCTATGATAGCCCGGCTATTCGAATGAATTTAACAAAGTTCCTCGGCTACGCCTCGTGAGTCCATAACATTTTGACGGCTAGATTACGAAAAAAGTGCTAAATAAGATGACATACAACGGAAAACTGGAGAAAATAGTTTCTTAACTACAAAAAATTGTCAATTTTACTACGAAAACAAAAGTAAAATTTGAAAGAAAGAAAAAAAAAAAAACAGTTTCAAGCGCACGCGTGATTTGCTGACGTACTTCAAAGGTATGTTCTCCTATTTCCCCAAGAGACCAATCAGAAAGCGAGAAAATTCACAATTGTGTTAAAAAGCACATTTGAGACATATTTTCAATAACGCAAAAAATCAAACAGATACTGTCGCGCGATCGAAAAGCAAACCTCAATAACTTAGGACAACATCTGCAACTCAGTCTTCACCACTGACCCCTCTCCCCCTGGTCTAATAATCAAAGCACTCCACATCTCAAGTACCAACGTCTTGAAACCTCTTTAATTCTAGTCTACTCAGCATTAGGGTCAGCTAATATGAGCTACTTAATTGAAATTGTCTGTGAACTTAGAACGGTAAGACTGAAGGACGCCTGGATGTTTTAGTTTCACCACCTCTAGTATAGCCTGGTCGCGTGCCTAGCATGGCAGGGTGTTGGCCACGGCATAGCTTGACTTCTAGGATCGTATTTTCTCGCATGGTAAGCTATACCCTTGCTTTTTGAAAGTATTGTTTTGAACATTAMTAGGGTTCTTAGTCGTATGTAGGGGATGCGGTTAGGGATATTACTATTCACATTCGCACCTGTTTCGGACACGGAATAGGTAAGCGAAAATCCATTGAGTACTGTATATGTAGCAAACATTGTTTCCTTGAAAAAAAGAAAGTCCATCAAAGAATAGACAAAGAAGAAAACCAAGATTTTGTTTTCGAATAAGAAAGTTTTTTGAAAATTTTAGTCTCATATATAAAGAAAGATAGCTTGTCCTAGACTACGTTAAGTCATCTTTGATCGCTATTCCTTTTTCAACCAAACACAAGAGATTTTCTAACATTTTTTCTACGAATGCCACGCGCCATCGTAATTAAATCTTTAGTCAAAAGAAAGTAAAATTGGATTCTGAGTCTTTCACTCTTTGCAGCCAAAAAAATCTTTGTGCTCACTTCTATATTGAAGGATGAGAACAAAAGCCAAAAAGAGTTCTTTGTGAAAATGCTCGATAAGGTGTGATGGAATTTGATTATTTGCACGCGTGTCAAAATGTGCCTCAAGCTAAATAGCGAATAAAAGAGGAATAAATGCCGATATTTTTAGCAAATTTAAGAGTCGTTTTCATCGATTTTTATCGATAAGAAAACGAATCATAATAACTGAATATCGGTCTTGAATTCATTGGAAAATATATTAAAATTGTTAATTAATGGGAATATTTTGTTTTCTTTGCGTTGGTGCTTTGAGGTAATACTTGATTCAAAGCTGGTGAGATATTGTGAATTAAATCACACAGGTGATGCACTAAAAGAAGTCGGATACAGTGAAAGTAATTTTCCCGTAGTGCTTTAAAAAGTCTATTTATATCGAATGCGCCGTTATATAACCTCCTAAAAAATTGTTAAAGCTGTAAAAACAATGTATATTCTATTAACTTGAATTTAAGCAATAAATAAATAAATAAATAAAATAATAATAATAATGACAATAATAATGATAATAATTAAAAAAAGCCTTTGGGCACTTTTTAAACTAAGGACAACATTTTTCAAGCATTGAAAAATTAGAAAGTGTATACCGAACTCGGTGTTTATAACCTTCCCTTAAATTGCTAAGATCATGGAAAAAATTTACAATCTCTTTACATTGAGTTTGGACAAAAAAAAAAAGCTTTTAGATAACAATTAAACATGCCTTTCTATTCCGTCTTTAGGACGAAATTTGTTTTGCAAGTGACTTTGAGGTTGAAAATGCACCTTTTTTTCTTCAAATAACATTTCGACCTGTTGAATTTTGTCTGCCTTTATCGGCTCATTCAAGTCATTCCCCACTAAGAAAGCATAAAAAGTTTGTCTTTACTTTCTTGTCTTTGTTTTCCGGATAAATTAGTAAATCCACATAAGAGCAAAAATCACTTTTCTGCTCTCAATAAAGATTACCCCATTTGAATGACTTTCCCTAATGCTTCGCGAGGCATAACAACTCGATCAACTTCTCGCTATCAAAATTAATATCGTCTAGCTTTCCATGGCGTCCGAGATTGTATTCTATATCAAAAATAAAAATTATAATTAAGTATAATAAAATTATGTCATTCTAGATAGCCAAGCAATGCCAAGGACACTGGCTACATATAGGAGTCTGTTTTAGGCATTGATTGCAAGGAGCCGAGAATCAGTATTAGGTTACGCGACCACTTCACGATAACCACACATYTTGAAAGCTTTTTAGTACTCGTTTGCTGATAAATCTAAAAGCATAAGATTGTACCTAATAGTGCATCCGTTTTTGGTCGTTTTAGGAAAATTGGCTAAATTATTTTGGCCAGTGGTATTAGTTTTAAGTAGGTTCTCTGCTTCTGTTAATGGGGGAAAACTTAGTCACAATAACGGAGGAAAACATTAGATAAATCTGTTGAATTTTCATGTGAGAATGAGTGAGATTGCAATCAGTAGAGACAGTGCTCTCACTTTTGAATAAAGTTATTTTATAACGTACTTTGTCAAGAAGAATTCTTTTGGTCTTTCATTGAGAACACAAGACAAAAGCTTTTGTGTGAGGGGTCGCGTGGCGTGGAACAATAAGTCGTATAAACACTTTCGATATAATTTTTATTGCTTTTTCCCATCCGACTTTCTTTTACTTTTAGCTGACTAGCATAAGTATACAAAAGAAATCAGTCTCGCCCCACTTAAAAAAAAAACAAGCATTATTTTTGGGAAAATTTTCCTAACAGTGCATGAACTGGAAAAAAAATTTTTTTTGATGTTCAGACGTCGTGTTTTTGGTCATCAAGCTTTCTTTCGAAGCATCCTGACAGTGTTGGTTTTCAACGGCAGGGCACGTGGACAGTGCCCGTCCTCATTCAACTACAAACCCGCTCTAATTAGCATTGTTTTCTCGTAAAGTTCCCGCTTAGTTCACAGTTGCCACCCTGAGTATTCCAAGGCACGTGTGTATGTTAAATATTTAATGAAATTTATCAAACACACTGATACCTTTGGATTTGAGACGAAGAACTTTGGTTCCATTATTCACTTATTCAGATTCATCTGATCTGGGACGCTAATGATGAATAATAAACCATCACGTAGCAAGATTGACATGTTCGTGTGTAGTATGTGGACACAGAAGGGAGAGTTTTACTCAAAAAAACGGATACACTCTAGAATTGTATTGAACAAAACGATTACTTTGACAGGGGACGTTATTGATCTATTGTCTTAGAATTCTCTAAATACGTTTTAATTGGCAGAAACAAAATAACAAGACAAACATAATCAGGGCAACTAATTACTAAAACTATATGAAAGAAACGAGAATCTGAACAAGAAAAATAACCATCACCTGCGACTCATACCTTCCCCTTTCTTTCCAACATAACTGACTTCTCAAAGAAAAAGAAGAAGAAGAAGAAATAAAATAAAAATAAAAATAGCGAGTTCTTCAAGGGAGTTTTCCTGCAGTTTTCATCAATAAATAGCGTAAAAATGTTTTTAAATGGCTAGGTAGTAGAAATCTAGAGACTTAAGGTAGAACAATGACGCAATTTTTGCCAAATATTCAATGTGCTAAAATGGCGATATTGATTTGTTTTGTGACGTGTTTTAAACGAAATTAGTCGTTGTAGAAAGTAAATTAGCTAGTACATCGTGCTAATATTAAGTTTATTGCGCAGATATTATCTCTTATGCTGTATGAAATGTTTATTCCTCTTGAAAGTGTATTTCGATAAAGTTAACATTGCGGAATAGGGAACACGCCTTTGGAGGGAAAACTCGGAAATTCTGAGTAGACTGAACTAAAGACGTAATCAAAACCTAGTGTGGTTGGTCTGCAATATCAAAATAGGTGATGTTTTTCAATCGGATGAAAGATTTCATCCAGCTGAATATCGACCCAGATGCTTCAATTACCTGAAGGAAAAGCTAGAAGAGACCTCTCACTTATATTTCCTTCGTATTTGAGGAGTTAAATCAACATGCTAAATCAACTGTCATCTCAGAGAAAATTGCGAGACTTTGAAATTGTCTTGACGTTGGGTAGCGCATTCCACAATGCATGCACATTTCCTTTTCAGATCGTGACAATTCATTGTAGTTTGTACCAATCAGAGTCAGTTCTCAACTGTCGGGAAAACGGTGTTCAAAATGACCCGAATAATTCATGTGGCGACGTAAGATAGCTCCAACATTATACCCCGTAAAGGCTGGGRAAAAAATAAGAAATTAATCATTACGTTCAATTTTGTTCCGTTTTGATGCTATTCGCATTTTGCTTGCGTTTTATAGATATCACTAGGGAAACCGTTTGACAAGCTGGCTGTTTTAAGGTAAAAACGCTGAAAAGATTCTGTTTCTTTTTATCAATGAGGTCTCAGTCCTGCCCAGCAGTTTGAAAACCCGGCGATAATTGCCTAAGAAAAAAAACTCCAGTGCCATGGTCTGCGCTGCCGGAGTATTTAAGAGAAAAGATAGCAAATGCGTAACATTGTGTAACAAATTTATTCAAATGTTTCTTTTCAGTTGAAAGAATGTTTTTGTCCGTGATGAGAACAGCCGGCCTAGATTTCTGAGACACACACGAGGCATTGTGATGACGGACGGTATGGGTTCTTCAGCAGTAGTGGTATAAGAGGGGAGTCTTTTGCAGAATGAGTTGCACGGCGTTGCATGGTGAATAGACTGGACAAGAGAGGCTAAGGAACCGAAGGGCAACATTTTTTTTCTTCAAGCATTTTGCAAGAGCGCTTAGCATGCTTTTCAAATCAAGCTTTCCAGTTTGGTTAATGCTTTTCGTTTCATGGCTGGCTCACATTTCTGTATTTTCAACTCAAGACGACGATGAAGAAGTCGTGGGCTTCGACGGATCATCTTACATCACTTATAGACTATCGACAACCAAGCGCACAAGACAAGACCGTATCCGACTACTCTTTCGTACTATCAATTCCTCGGGGCTTCTCTTACATGCTGGAGGAAAAAATGGGGATTTTATGACGCTGGAACTCGTTGGTGGCAAATTAAGGTACTTTATTATCGTTATTTTTATGTTATTCGATGTTTTCTTCCTCCGTAATTTACCTACATTGCGATCTCAACACCTCGCAATTTTTCCAATACCCAAACGTGTTAGCAATGAAACTTTTCCGCTATTCTATCATAATTCGTAAAAAAACTTTAATATTTCATTAAAAAATTGTTAGAAATAAAACAATATAAATACAATTCTTATTTTTTTGTTGCATTTTGATAAAGTAATTCAGTTGTTTTAATTGAAGTTTTGAACAGCCTGCTGAGCTTTTAGAATAACTAAAATAAGACGTATTCTAACTGGCTTTTCCACTAGCGTTTCTTGACGTAAATCGTCTCGTAGGTACTCTAAAACTAGTGAACATAAGATTGGAACAAACGAACGACTTTATTAATTTTCAATTGAAAGCTCTTTTTCTTTGTCTCTTTGGAGAATGAAAAGCTTTCATCGTATTAAGACTAAATTCTGTTGGTTACTTAGATTAACCTCAAACGCAACGACTATTTTTTGTGTGTTTACGTGCTGTGTACTTCGGCCAAACACTCGAAAGAATGCATGTATTTTCTTTCTAAAGAAAAAAAACTTCTTTTGTTGTGAATTTTAGAAGGTTTAGGTACATTTTGGACACATAATTTTACTAACAATCGTAGAGTCTTATTCCAAGGAAAATTTATTTTTCGTATACGCTAAACTAAGTCTTGTAGAGAAAGTAATTTACCAAAAAACCTTTTCAAACATCTACCAAAAGGAGTTTTTTGTTTAGCTTTAAAACTTTTTCATTTTTTTAAAGAATAGAATTGAGAAAATATCAAAATGTGTGATTTACGTACACATTCCACCTTAAATTGCACCTGTAGCTGTAGCGTCTGCGCATGCGCCAAATATCATTAATAATTCACAAGTATTGTTCCTTGTTGAAATTCGCGTATTTTTGCTGGACTCCCTAATCTTTAACTTGCATTACTTTCGGTTGAAAACCACAATAAACTCCATGATTTTCACGTAAAATTTTCAGATACACGTAAGATAGGAAACCTACTTATTGTTTTACGGTATTCAAACTGCTGGAGATCGATAAACAACGTAAAACCAGAAGCGGTTCTTGACCCAAATCTCGTTAACAATCAATTTTTTGGTTGCAAGTCAAAAGTTCAAAGCGGGGGCTGACTTTGGCTGATCTAATCGAGCTTTTTATTTTCAAATATTCTTGCTTGGTATAAGGAGGAAGTATCAGTAGAAATTTTTTCCCTCCCACTTCTTTCTGAACTTTGAAGATATTATTTTAGGGGGGAAGTTGTCGATTGTGACTCATCTCTGCACAACTTATGCAAGCGTTTAAAGCAAAATTACACTTAAAAGGTCTTAAAACACACAAGAATGAATATGTTTTGCAAGTCTTAAATACTTATACGAGTTTGTGAAAATTTTATATGCTATATTCAGTCGATAAAATAATAGGTATTTACTCGAAGTTATATTCACAACAGGCAAATTAGAATTCCGAAGGGTTTTAAATGCAAGATTTTTCCACTCACAACGACAACCCTACTACGTTTGAGCATCGTGCATATAAATAGGTCTCGTACCATACGAATAAATTGTGAATTTGTGGTCACTCTGCAATGGTCTTGTTCACTAATCTACTTGAAATTTAGTCTCGAACAAGGAACACTTATATAATTCGTCTTTAATTATTTAGTTCTGGATTTTTAATTATATTATTATATTATCACAATATAAACGTATAATATTCTTTATTTATTTAATTATTATTATTATTAATTTTTATTGCAAATTACAGCTATTTGAAAAAAGGTTGAATACTGAATACTGCATACTGAATAGTGCATTCCAAGACCGAAGTGCATTGTGGGTCGTAGTGAAATTGTCTAAAGTAGGATTAATAATAATTATTTATTCTATTTTCAGTGCATTCCATCTGAAACAATATACTAACTACATGTAGAAAGTTAATTGCTGTTTATTTACTTTTTATTTCAAATTATCGATACCCACGATACCCTTTGGTCTTGGAATGCACTATTCAGTATGCAGTGTTCAGTATTCAACCTATTTTCAAATAGCTGTAAAAAATTGTTAAAACTGAGCTCTTTATATTTTCTCGCCCAGTTATTGAAAAAATCAAACATTTTCATGTGTGTAATCGTTTAAATCTTTTTTACAAGTACCAGTTTTCTTCTTTTCTAAGAAATAAGAAATAAATAGATTTATTGTGATTTTGAAGAGGATTTTTATAGCAGTAATCAAAATTGTTTTCATTTCTTTGTAAAACAACATGATTTAGCCAATATTTCTCATGCTACGAAAAATATTATTACTTGTAAATAAATAATTATCAAATAGAAGTCGTTTGATGTTGTGTGTTTGAAGGATGGATGGAATGGACGTAGAAATATTTATTTATTTATTTATTTATTTAATAACTTTCACCATGATAAATAATAGTAACATAAAAAAGGTAATAAAAAAAATGGGGAGGGATATACAACAAAGCGAGGCTCCAAATTAAGTGTGTCCTACAATAAAAGAGATATAAAGAAAAAATYAAAAAGATATAAAGATAAAATTCATGATATAGAGTGTCAACCACATATCCGTGAAATAGCACCGGCCAATAACACCAAAAACACCAATAGTAAAGTAAAAGGCCTAAAATTGAATGATAGGAAATAAAATAAGAACTCAGATATGTAAATAAGCTAGGATACAAAAATGTTGACAAAAAGGAGAAATCTCCCTCATTATTGAATACCAATAACTCGTGGTGATAATGTTCATAAGTGACCGGTAAAACACTATTAGTTATTATGCTAATCCATTTTTCATTATTATATCATCTATAGCAAGATCTATTTTTTCTATTACGGGCAGACATCAAATATGTTTTTAATTAAAGTACACTTGACTAATTATGGTCTCTCAATTACACATCAGTAAGAAAATGTAATCATAATTAATGTCATGTATTCCCACTCCGCAAAACCTACAAGCTAAACTTCCAATTCAGTCTGTGAGTACGAGTTAACCGTGGCCTGACTTTGATCATCCCAGAGGTTGTTTCCGGGTTCGATCTTTGATCCATGCCCTGACTTAGATCAGCCAAGCTAGAGGTTGTTTCAGGGGTCCTATCTGTGTGTTAGCGATGCCCTGACTTAGATCAGCCCAGAGGTTGTTTCAGGGTTCGATCTGTGAGTTAGCCATGCCCTGACTTAGATCAGCCCAGAGGTTGTTTCAGGGTTCGATCTGTGAGTTAGTTAACGGTACCCTGACTTAGATGTTTCATCCCGGGTTTGATAATATTTAGGGAATTGAGGATGAATTATAATTCTTATACAGATAGGGTGTGTTCTAACCGAGCACAGACCATGGTGGTTCATGGTTTAAGTGATATCGAATATGTCTCTCAGACATCTAATAGAGTAATTTATTGTTCATTTCGTCCATGGCTTGCTAATTGGATGACAGACAAACCAGTATTACACGATGGATACGCGTTTATTATTGATATAATAAACCCTACAAAATTACGTATACTCGATTCTGATTGGACAAGAGGGGTACAATTAAATCCCAAATTGTACTTTGTAGAGTCCCAATGAAGTTGATTAATTTTTTGAGTGTATTATAAACGAAAAATCAAACAATCTTCTTGTACAATTCGGAATTTATAGATTTTCGTGATGTCATGAAAGTTGTCAAATTAAACTCGCCTAAAGGCTCGTCCATGCAATTTTGAAAATTTTCAAAACAACACTCTTACCTATGAATTCCGAGTTATACTCGAGATCGTGAGATTTCCTATACAAATTGGCCAGAAAAACATCGATGTATGTGCGTCTACCGAATGTTGGAGCATACATGATCATGTCGACAGGGCAGCAAAACGGTTTTTGGCCTTTCGCCATAAGGACGGCTTTACGTATTTAAGCTCAATATTTTGGAAACACGTTCTTTTGGAGCCTAATAGCAAAATATCAAATGCGACCAAAATTTATTGAATGCGTATTTGAGATATAAAGCCGTGTACTTTGGGAGAGGTGATATTTTGATCAGCAGAAAAACTGACATTTTCGTGAATACCAAGTACATTAACTCTGATAATTCAACAAAACGTTTGTCACGAGTTTCGAGCAGCTGCAAATGAAACGCTTAAAAATTTGGAGTATTAAACTCAGTTAAATAAAAAAATCGCGAAAGTAGAGGGCTTGTCGTTTTTCTGCCCTGTCGATCATGTCAAATTTCTTAGATCATTTTAATTTTTCACTGCTTTGTTGCGAATAAACCGCAAATTTGAAAAAGGTTCATGGATTTTATATATTAATAGTCCCTTTCACAGTTCCCTGCGCCATCTTGAAAGGTAGCCGTGCCTTTGCATCGAAGCTACACGAACGGTGAGCTTGCAATGATAGAGAACTTGTTTTAACACCTTGGACAATTATTCACATGTCTCTATTGTTGCATTGCGTTCGTCTCGCTTCGATGCTGAGGCACGGCTACCTTTCAAGATGGCGGCGGGGACTGGGAAGGGGACTATTCTCACTTGCTGTTCTGATAAATTTGCTATCTCAACCTCTTCATGACGAATTATTTTTTCTTAACAAGCATTGTATTATTATTTTGTTATTGTTATTTTACTGTTACAAAGAAGTCTATTCAGCTCAGTGGTTAGAGCATCCGAATCAGTAGTATCCGGAGGGTCGTGGATTCGATTCCGATCCCGTCTGGGGCTCAGATTTTTATGAGTCAGACGTTGTTCCAATCTTGTSTTCTATGTTAATAATTCAATAATAATTAATATTTAATAAATAATTAATATGAAATTTCTTTTCCYTTTGTGCAGATATTCAGGCAATCTTGGATCTTTTGGCAACACATCTGGCTTTCACGAATACTTCATAGGCAACCACCTCGCAGACAACGAATGGCATCAACTTGACATCACACGACAAGGAAAAAACCTTCTCATCAAAGTCGACGTCACCGGTGTCGCGCCGGTGCTTCCCGGGCTGTACGCCACCCTCGAGCTCGACGACAAAATCTACGTTGCTGGAGTCGACCAGGAAGGAGAGGCGAGAGCCAGGAAGATGTACCAACGGAAACTACCATTTACAAAGTTCGAGGGATGCTTGCAATATATTATCTTAAACAGGGAACATTTTGCAACGCTGACGAAGAAATTGGACCCCAATATTACAATATTTGGGAAWGTCAGTTCTGGCTGTCACATGAATGAGTACTTGCCTTTAGGGTTTGAAAAACCTGAATCACATATTATCATTTCTACAGCGCCGTACAGCGATGTGCTATCGTTCAGCTTCAAGTTTCGTACGTTCGATAGCAATGGCTTGCTTATAATGCATCAGGGCAAGAAACACATAAGTACTGATGTTTTATTGTGGCTTGTCAACGGACTTGTGAAGTTGGATGTCACGTTTCGAGCTTCGAGTAGTGAACACGTGACACTCCGCGCGGGAAAATCGTTGAACGATGGTTCGTGGCATTCAGTTGCCGTGGAGATCAGTGGACAAAGAGTACAGTTAAAAGTGGACGGCGTTACCTTTGAACACAAGTTAACTCCTGCTAAGACATTTACTAATAGCCTTCAAATTTCCATAGGAAGTAATAGCCCCAACATTGTCGGGTTTGTCGGCTGTATGTACGACATTGTTGTTCAGGGGCGCGAAGTTAACCCTAGCAGAGAAAGGAGTTCTCACGTTGTGATTGGACAGTGCATAATAGACGATCATTGTCTTTCCAATCCTTGTAAGAACGGAGGGAAGTGTTTTCAGCAACTGAGCCAAGCCAAATGCAATTGCTCATCGCATTTTAGTGGAAAGTATTGCGAAATTCCTGCGGTTGTTAGCAGAGAGACATGCGCGGATTGGAAAGCTTCAGGAGCGACGCAAGACGGTCCTTACATGATCAGCCCAAATGACGTCAAACCGTTTCCTGTTTACTGCAAATTCCACGACCTGAAAGAACCAATCACAGTTATCAACCACGTCATGGCGGGAAATCAAACCAAAGCGGTCAACCAGCACACGCGCAAGGCAGGTTTTTATTTTCATCCAGTGCAATACTCAGCTGATCCTCCAAGCATTCGTGCATTGATTTCAAGCAGCTCGCACTGCAGACAGMACCTCACCTACAACTGTTTGAACTCTCTTCTTCTCGATTCTTTGCACGAGTTTGATTTGGATGGGGGCCGCGGTGCACGATGGATTTCACGTGATGGTCGGACGATGGACTATTGGGCTGGGGCAAGGCCTGGAAGTAAGAAATGTTTTTGTGGGGTTACGAATACGTGTTATAGGCAGGATTTAAAGTGTAATTGCGATGCCTGGGACGATGTGTGGAGAAAGGATGAAGGCTATATCACAGACATGGAGGCTCTTCCTGTGAAAAATGTCAAGTTTAGTGTACGGGCAACCAGCTCGGAGTCGAAATTCACGCTTGGAGGGCTAGAATGCTTTGGGAGAAAAATTATACATACTACTAGAATTCCTACAAAACAAGCATCATCATCATCATCATCATCATCATTATCATTATCATCCAACCACGGCGAATCGACCGCAAACACCAAACCATCTATTAAAATCACACCAACAACCACAACAGTCACTAAAAACAACGCTACTAATGTATATGAATCACCAACCTACGGCCCACCAATAGACAAACCACCAATCGTCATCATCGAATCACCAAGAAAATACATCACAATCAGACAAAACAGCAACCAAGAATTAATCCTTATTATCCTCAGCGTCGTCTTGGCTGTATTTATTCTCGCTATTCTCATTCTCATGATCAGACAGAATCTATTTTTAACATGTAAATGTATGAGTGGTCCCGTCTATCGCGATGTCAGCAACATTGATAGCATAGAACTGGGTCCACCCAGTTCACTCTACACAAACGTGGACACTGAAATAGTCGAGTACGAGGCAAGTCCATACCCACCTCGTGGAATGGATGGGGTTGTGGTGAACTCGTCTCGACGTAACTCGTCTTGCAGGGTGATCCATGTTAATGTTCTCGAGTCGGACTCAAACGATGAGAACGATCGTCTTCATCTTAGTGGCGGGAGCTCGCCATCTTCTGACGACAAAGAAGACTGGAATAAAAAAAATACGCTTGAAAAAAACGAGTACGAAGATTTAGGGTCTTTAGAAATGGTTCTCCTGAAGTCACCGCAGGAGATGATGGAAGTCCAAGTCGAAAAAGTAAAGGAAGCTTTATACGAAGTAATATCGGCTTCCGAAGTCAATATCAATAATAATCCCATCTCCCARGAAAGCAATACTGAAAACACACTTTGTGTATTTATGCACGAGGACGAACATTACAATCACACCTCGACCATTAGCTCTTATGGGATGGAATTTTCCCGCCCTCCGTCCTATCAGGATATTGAAGGAGCTTGTAGCTTAGAACAGGATCTGGGGTCTGATAGTRCGCATGCGCAGAGCACGCTGTCATCAGGATCGTCTAGCTGGGACAGCGAGAACATACTAGAACACGATGACATCACAACAGATTATGAACCAAATGAGATTTCTTCATCTTCAAATGACTTAATTCCAGTTAATAGCAATTTTCCTATTTCTAATACCAATTCTTCCTCTTCCGACGCACTTTCCGATGACAACGTCGAAATCTCGCAAAATATTAACTATTCAACGTCGCTTAGCAACGGACAAGCAAGCGTAGATGCCCATATGGCTCCTCTCAATGAGATTTCTAAACGACATTCGTACATTGTTTGCGAGGACAGATCAGAGAGTGAGCCTTTACTCGAGGGAAACCTACCTTCCAGTCCAAGTTCAATGAACGGAATTGAATCAGACTTGAATCTAATAACTAATATCAATGACTGCAGTGCAGAAGACTATTGTGACGTCTTTGATGATCTCACAGCGCATGCGCAGCCTAAACAAACTAGCGCTGACCAAAAGAACAGCGACTCAAGAGGAGAGTGTTTTCGACATGAAACTTCACTGTGAGTGAAACTATGGAGGATGTAAAGAATTATATAGAAGTAAGGATGATAGAATGAATAAGAGTAATGCATGCAAGCATAGCAACCAATTAACGTGTATTAATCCGTTGTAAGGAGCGGTTAAGGTAGACCGCTATACTTCAATCCTACGTTATGAGGGTCGTACCATTCAAATATAAGAGAGGGATGCTCATTTTTATTACGAAAATAGAACTACTGTGTAAAACTGAGTTGTGAACTCGTTTCTCTATCAGGGTTGTCCTGATTGAGAAATGGAGTATAAATAGTGCTTACCACATAAGGCGAAAGGTTCTGTTACACTGTGCAATTTTTCCAGAAACCTGATACACAAGTTGTTTGAGAATTGCACAGTTTAACAGGAGTTGTCTTGCGATTTTTTGTTGTTGCGCGTAGTGATGCACGAAGTATGAACTCAGTTCTACTTTTCACGACGGATTGCAGCAAATGGCAACGCTATTAACAAGCGTAACACCTCACCTCCATATTTTGCAACGCTACATTTTCAAGCATTGCGAGACAATTTGCTGACAAATTTGCACAGTGTAACAGGATCGACCTTAAATGCTAAAATTTTGCAGTCGTTCACAAAAGTACGCGCAGAATCATCCTTACGACAAAATAGGTTTTCAGTGGTGAACGTCAAGTGATGCGTTTCCATGACGTTTCATAGGCACGTGCCCTTGTCAATAACCAATGTCAAGGTAACACTTTGATTGATGTACACAAAAACCTTATTTTGTCTCGACGGCAAATTGTGCAGTTGAGTCGGKTTTTTTTCCGAACATCCATTTCTTAATATAAATGACCATAATTACCTCTCAGCAGATATCTTTAATTAGCATAAATGACGTAAGCGAAGTATGTGACGTCATTCATTATTATTATCATTATCTATCCTTGTAACATGAGCAAGAACTTAAGATTGTAGAGCAAAAGATGTGCAAGATGTCACCGGTAGGCACATCATGGCAGATTGCAATCGGTTTTTAGAGCAAAAATGTAGGATTTGATTTAATATCTTATAAAGCCAAGTGCTGAGCCTGCGGTACGTGTCTGCTGCTTAAGCGGTTCTTTTCCACGCATTTCCACCCATTGCGCATGCGCTGGCAATTTCCCGCGCTTCCTAGAGCCACCTTTTTCAAATTTGGTGCTCAAGCGCAGTATCTTCAATGTTTTGGATTTTTCAGACATAAGAAATGGATTTGGAAACCAAATACCATATACCATTTCTAGTTACTATGGCAACTGTCTCATTCACCATGACAGGAATATTCCAAAAGTACGGCAGAGCACTAGGAACCTAATTTTCTCATTAAAATAGAAACAGTTTATTATAAATTGTAAATTTGTTATATAAGGATTTAGAGTAAATTAATAAGATAATAAAATAATATTTATATTAATATTATCGTGGTTCGAAATTTGTTATATTAATTACTAACCCTTTCAGCAGTTTCAAAATCACCCGAATCATCAAATAGACTATATATAAAAGTGGAAATGCCAATGCTAAGCGGGACATTGGGAAGCATTGGAAATGTTCGCTACGCCGCCCTCTCACTGCGCTGTGATCATGAGTTCCAACATAGCATACAAAGCAAAACTCCGGCTTGGAGCTGTAGAGCATTCGAGAAGCAAGACGAAACACTCGGGTACGCCTCGTGTTTCTAAGCATGCTTCTCTCGTGCTCTACAGATTCCAGCGTGTTTATATCACAGTACAGAGACATGCGCGTGTGTTTTATACTCCTTAAATAGTATAGCAATAAGGATAGCCATTCTTTTGAAAATATATTATAATATATAATATATATATAATATAAATCTAAAATATTAATATTTCAAAAAACGTTGTCATCGTGAAAGACGACAGGCGCGGATAGGTCATTCCGAGACGGGCATAGAAAACAACATTGAATCAGTCTCAACACTAAGGTCCATGTTCGTAACGAGAATAAGAAGCAGAAACACAGGTCATTCCAGCTATTCTTGGATCTTGGAATCTCCCATATCGCTTTTCGCCTATCTGCTATAACTATCGCCTCTGGCCTTTGGCGATAACAACTTTTTTTTAAAATTAAGGAATGGATCATGCAACCTCATGCTTAAGCAACCTCCCGCGTGCATCCATAACTCGATGGACGCACAGCTACTTATGATCCATTGCTTTCATAATATAGTCAAATTATCAATTTGTGGTTTGCTTTGTCTTTTTGGAGTGACGCTCTGACACAATCTTGTCCAGCTCACTGTTTAAAAGTGATGCAAATCTTGACGTTTTATTACTAGGCTGATCAAATGACAACTCTATACTAAATGTCGGAGATTGATGAGTATTTTCGCTAGTTTTTTCAGTCATTTTCAGTTATCTTTTCTAGATAAATTGTCAGCAAAAAGATAGAAAAAGGTTTTTTTTCGCCGAAGCAAAAAAAGCTGACGTGAGCGTGCAGCCCATGGGCAAATGGTTCATGCTTTTCAACCAATCAGATCGCACGGATTTACTTGACTATATTATAATAGGTATATATTCGATACTGGCATAAAGCGCGCGCACATTCTCAGTGCTCTTATGAAGCACGAGCACAAGTCTACGAGTTTTAACAACCTAAAATAGTTTTTCTTGCGCGGGAAAAAGTTGCGCAAAAAACCTTTGCCAGTAACAGTGCTTTTTGTAGCTGGGTATACATAGCCTCTGTTAGTTCCGCCCCATTCAAAAAAAAAAAAAAAAAAGAAAAAAGAAAAAAAAAACGACAATAAAAGAATCCAGCCTTTCCCCCACTAGTCACACATTTAATGAACGAGCGAAATTTTTTCATATACTACAATTAACACCCGTTCACAAAGCCTCGCTTGAAACAAGAAATGAAGCCTATGGCACGAACCTTTGAACTTCTAACCAATGAAAACTAAATGAACTAAACTCTGGTTAACACTTTTGAATAAACGTTCATTGCATACACGTAATTTTCTTATCCTAAGATTGTTGCTTTTTTAACCCACACATTAGGAAAACAACCATACTATATAGCTGTACAGAAAGAGACCCAGTTTTCCCGCTCAAAACTAGTATCGAAGCGTTGATTTTCAACACTGTTTGCTGTACTCGACTATTAGTACTTACTCTTTGCAAAAAAAAACTCATTTGTGGCACAAAGGTTTCCTACATTCACAGACGAGAACATTTTAAAAACCAGTTTTACCTGTTTTCACGTTTTGGCACCTTTGTGGCATCACACATTTGAACAGTGAATGACAACATTCAAACTAGAAAGCGTTTTTCTTGGATGATTATGGTTCGATGTTATACTTAAAACCAAATTACTTTTCTTAAGAACCGTTTTGTTTTTAGTTGACAGCTTTGCTGGCATTGCTGAGGTGAGATTGGACAAGCAATCAAAGCCTTAATTTCATTTTAATTTAGCTGTTTCTACGAAAATTAGATATAGGACAGCGTTATTACGAATCAGTACCCGTAAATACTGACACCAATTACCATCATCTCTGCCTGGCTTGGTGTTGCAAACAATGAATATCGTAATGGAAAAAGCAGATGTTGGATTTATTGATACACAAAGAGAAACTCATGCAACAAATACTGGATTCCTAAACTCGGAGAAGTCGGTGAATGGACGGTTCTGTGGGAGAATCCACTCAAAACGGCAAATTTCACCTGTTTTCAAGATAACTTTAAGTCTTCAATGAAATCTTATTACTTATATTGTTTACAGAAAAGTCTGGTCGCTTATCTGAAAAACCAAGGATAGAATTCGAGTCAATTTGTATTTACAAACACTGTGTGTACTTTGGAATAAGCGTCGGCGGACAAACGACTTGATACAGTTTTTCCCCAGAAAGAAAAACAATGGAATCTACTGCTAAAAAGTTATCTTTATCGTTTCAAACGATTCTTATATGGATTACAATACTTCCAATGYCGTTTACAAGTAAAGATTTGGCTAAAAATGACAATTCAGAGATGTTTTTTGGAGGACAAAGCTTCTTGCAGTACAACATGACTGAAATGTCGAATTCAGAAGCTTTTGGGACGGTTTGTCTGACACATGTACAACTCTGGTTCAAACCAACAAATCGTCAAGGAATATTAGTAGTGTTTTCTAGCAATAGTGGGACATGGACAGGAATTGGTTTAAAAGATGGATATTTAAGGTAAGGACAAAATAAATAATTGGATACCATTTTTTAAAGTTTAAAGTGTGAAAGAAATAGTTTTTAAATGTTGGAAATGATGGACAAAAACCGAAAACAAAAACCGAAAACAAATATTACTCGACTTTAACTCTCTAAGTTTTAAACAAAAACAAAAAACAACAACGCGGCAGGCAATAGTTCGTAATCCTCGAAGCCTTGGGAAGCCGCTTCGTCAGTGACTGAGTTTTATAGGAATTTAAGTTGGTGTGATGTTGAAATCAAAGCAATTAAGTCAAAGCAACATGTTGTTTTTGCTTCAAACTTCTGTTCAAATGTGGACGTAAAAGTTGTTACTGAGTGTCTGTGTATTGGAGAAGTAGAATTATAAAATAACTGTCATTAATCTCGCGTTCTGATTGGTTAGAAGAGCGTGCTTTATGAGAGCTTACAGCACGCATGCATGCGCACTTTCACGGTTTTTGTAATTTAATTATAAAGTTTATAGCGACAAGTTTACTTGACGTTTCGACCCACACCGGTGTTATCCACATTTAGTATAAAATATTGAATATACGTATCATTCGACACACTCAGTTTCTCGTGCATTACGACCAATTTTCGAGTGCAGTTACAGAGCAATAATACACGGTCTGGGAACCGGTTTTGAAACGGGTTTTTTTGCTGATGTCAGCGCGAAAAAATTTCTCCTTTTCCGTTGTGCGGCTCGCGTCAAGTGATTTGAGCTCGTGACTTTTAAAGTGCTACTATGACGAAAATCGCTCAAACTTGGATTCAGCTGAAACTTCCTAAAAATACTCTTTAAAGGTCCAATAATCACGGTATGAAGTGTTTTCTCGATATTCAGGACGAAAGTATGATATTTTTACGATTAT